GCCTGATGGCCCAGAGCAAACAAGAGTGTGTCACAAGCATATCTGCAGGTGGCTGTGACTTCAACCTTGCCAGGCTGGAAAATCTCCGCACAAGGCTGCATGAGGGTGCCTCTTCCATCATTTCTATTTCCATGGGGGTCTTCTTGCACAAAACTGTTTAGAGGACAGGCAATAGAACTGGAATCTATCTGACATGGATCTCCCTTTACTAGGAATGCACACAGGCATGTGTCTGGGTGCATGTGTGCACAATAAGGAGTATGTACGTGTGCATGTGAGAATGCCTAGAAACACATTGCTGTACTGGGAAAGGCAGGCATGAACTTTTAATTACTGACATACATCTACACTTTGACCTAGCCTATATTCATAGCAGTTTCTTGTCAAACTCCAGCCCACTTCGACCAGGGACCCTCAAACTTACCTGCTCATTAAAATCACCTGGGGAGCTTTTGAAACTCCCAGTGCCCAAGCCAAAGCCCAGACACACCAGCATTTATGGAGATTCATCAATATTTAATCATCTCAGGTGACCCCAATGCCTGCTAGGGCTGAGCACTCCTCTGCATAGAAAGCCTTTCTCCTATTCCTCTGCCCAGAAAACTTCTGAAGACTCCACTCACAGGGCCCCTTTCCAGAAAAGCCCTTTCTGATCCCCCAGGGAGTTAGCTCTTTCTTGCCTGAAGTTCCAGCTATACTTTAGTCATCTGACTATATCATGATTATTCGCTTGTCTGTCTGTCCCACTCCCCCAATAGAACCATGAGGTCTGGAAAGACATCACTACAGAGGCTCCATCTCTTTATTCCCAGTGTCCACCTTGGTGTCAACAGATGCTTCAGAAGGAAAGGGACTTACGTCATGGAGGCCATGAACAGGAGAGGGTTGGGGAGCAGAGGCCAAGAGCAGGAGAGGTCATTTCTGGGTGAGGAGGCCATGGTCTGCTTGCTCCCTGGCAGCAAGATGGAGGTACCCTTCCCTGTACAGAAAGGGTCCTCTTATGTCCACAGTGTAGTCCTGGTTGGGCTACATCTTCTGCTTCTCTAGAACAGCCACCAGAGTTCCCCAGAGGTTCAGAGGGACTGCTGAGTGGCACTGTGACCTGTGCCTGGCTCCCATAGTTGATCCTTCCCAACTGCCCTTTTCTATCCCATTCAGAGCCCACTGTCCAGCCTGCTTCCAGGGCACCTCTGCTATGAGGAGTGCCCAGAGCAGTCTGGTCCCCTACTTCCATGCCCACCCAGGGATCCAGGACCAGCTACTACCTTGGCCCTTGACAGAGGGCCATGGCTGAGAACTCCTAATAAAGAGGAGGAGGCTCCCTACAGCTGGCTCCACTTATAGAAACCAGCCCCAGCCAGCCCAGGATTCTGAGAGCAGAGAAGAGAGTGTGAGCAACACCAAGGGACAAACTGCATCCGATGTAGCTGTAGCCTCATGTCCCCACCCCACCTTCTTTCTTGGGCAGCCTTATCTTTAAGGCCCTGACAGCCCTTTTGTATTTCTTACTGCATTCCCCCTCCTCTTCCCCATGGACTTTTACTTCTCTATCTTAGGCCCACTAAGGTGAAGTGACCTGACAAGTCCACCCAGGGCTAGGACTGGCAATGGGCCTGGAAAGGGTTTGAGAGCATAGGATATGGAGTGAGGCCATTCTGACTCAAGAACTAGCTGTCACTAACTGGCCCTGTCTCCTTGGGATCTGATTCCTCATCAGGATGAGAGGATTAGTGATGTCATCCTCATCTCAAAAACCTGTGGTGTGGGCTTCTCAAGTGACCTGGACCAGGCCTCCCAATCACTAGTCCAGCTGAGGCCACGGTGGGGGCCTCCCATCCCCTTACACACACACACACACACACACACACACACACACACACAAAACCTGCCCAAAGGCTCTCCACCTCTAGGTAGACACCAACTCCCTCCCTCCCAACTCACCAACCAATGACCAGCCAAAGTCCTGGTTGCCCACAGAGTCTACTCAACATAAGCAAGAATTTTCTTTACATGTTGGGGATTTTACTTCAATTTGAAGCAGATGGTTGAGCACAGACATGAAGAGTTTTGAGCATAAGGAAGGAGCAGGCCTTGCTTTGAATGTGCCCCTCCCCCATACTGGTCCATTCCCCTGGTCCCTTCCTTCTTCTGTCCTCTTGCCCAGACCACTGCCTCCTGCAAGGTATCATCTTGTTTGCCCAGTCCGAGGAGGGGAACCTGGGGAGAGGCATCTGGCATGGCTGGCCTAAGGAGCCAAGACTCTTAGGCAGGTTGCCTTGGGGTAAGTCCCAGGGTAGGGTGGTGGGAAGGGTGCTCAGGACCTAAGAAGTAGACTGGGCCCAGGGAACACTGAGAATCAGAGCAGATGCCTGGATAGCCCGTGGGAGGAAGAGGAGACAGGGATCTCAGGCCCTACTCTCTGCCCCTCCCAGAGACCTCCAGCCTCCCTCTCATGGTCCCTAGAAGGCTTGTCATGTATCCAGCTAGCTCAGAGTCCAGTGTAGACAGAGCACTGGCTTAGATGGTCAAGTGTTTCCAATGGCTGTCAAGTGTCCATCCCTTGTGTGAGTTCCTGGTGGAAGTGCTGACTCATCTTTGGCTTGAGATGGGACTCAGGCAACAAGAGGAGCAGAAGTCTTAGAGCAATGGTGTGGCTTTTTGCTTCTGGGTTTCATTCCCCCCACTTTGTTCAGCATCTCTGTCGACTCTTTGGCAATGAACTTCTGCAGCTAAGCTCTCCCTCCCCAGCAGGCAGAGGGCAAAGTGCGAAGTAATGGCGGTGGAGTGGCTGGGTGAGGGCAGGAGGGTGGGGGAGAGGCAGGCTGCCCCACCCTGGAAGACCCTGAGAGGCGGTGGGTGGGCTGAGCATCAGGCAGCATCTTGGAGAAAATAACGGATGAGGCTGGCTTCGCGGGCTCACCCCCTCCTCAGGTCTGGCTGAGAAGAGGCTCTTGTGGCAGTGTTGGTGGTCCAGCCCATGATTCATCACTCTGAAAGAAAGGACCAACTATGAGAAGCAGCCCCTGCTTTCCCTGATGCCCCGATGCACACCAGCACCCATAGAACACCCTCTCACTTCATCCTCACAGTTGCCCCAGGAGAGGTGCCACACCAAGTGGGGGAGCCAGATATGGACTCGGGACAGGACACCCCCAAAGTCCATACTTATCCCTTTCTCCCCATCTCTGCACTTCAGGGCCCTGCTGTTCGGTTGGCTTGAGTGAAGGGAGGCAGGGCACTGGCACCATGATCCTCGGGGTCACCATCTCTAAGGGACCTGGAGTCAGGCCTGACTCTTCCCGGAGGTGGGGGGCTCCTCTGTGGGCTGGTTGGCCTGCACTGAAATGGCCATCCATGGCATCTCTTCCTCCACCCGGTTCAGACAGGAGCCACCAGGCCCACTGCAGAGGTAATCCATTGCCTGCCAGCTGGGTGACCTGAAACTAGTCACTTCACTTCTCTGGGCCTCAATTTGCTCATCTGAAAAATGGCATGGCTGAAGCAGATCAATAATGTCCAAATTTTCTTTTAAGCAGGAGAAATGATGTCTGACCTGTGAAGCACGAACCCAGTGAACAAATAAACATGGTTCTGTCATTGAAGAGTCAGGGGATAGGGGACATAGGTAGGGAAGGACCCAGAGTTCTACTGTGTTTTCTCCAGTGAGGAGCCTGGGACATCCTGAGAACCCAGGGACCTAAGGAGCAGTTTGAAAACTGTGGGACTAGGCCATTGAAGTCCATCACAGCCCTGATCTACTGAATCTTCTCTGGCAGTTGAATCTGGTGCTGCTCTTGAGAAAACTGACCAAAGGCTGTCCCTTGCCACCAAGAAGAAACTAGAGAGGAAAGGTCATGGATGCTGCTGGAGCTTTGTCTGGACAGTCAGAGCCTGTGGGGGTGGGGTAGGGAGTCAGGTCCACCCAGAACATGGAAAAGAATACTCAGGGTCCCTCCCCCTGGTATAGGATACCGCCTAATAAAGCAGCTACAAATTCTTCTCTCCATCCTATGACAACCCCAAACAAACAGCCCAGTACTTATTGTTAAAGCAAAACATCTGTCAGACACCTCTGCCATGCCAGGGCACTTTCTCATATCCCATGTCAGGGCTGAGCGATCGCAGACACCTAAGGAAGTGCTAGAAGCTGGCAGCACCAGGATTTGAATCCAGATTGGCAGTGTTTATTCTACCACACAGTGGCTGCCCCCCCGAAGGGAGGCTTGGGGAGCAGGAAAGAGCCAAACCACGAGGCTGGAGGGCTGCTAACCACAGACCCTGGTGTGCCTCGGAGGCTTGGGGCGCCAGGAGGAGCCCAGCCAAGATGTGGTCTGAGATTCAATTGGAGAGGCTGGGGCCAGGCTGGAAGCAGGGTCCAAGCAGAGCCAGGGAGCCAGGCCAGGGGGAGGGAGAGCTCTCCAGTTAATGGTGGCTAAGCGGGGAGAAAAGGAAAAGTGAGAGGCAGGCAGGGTCTTGATGTGGTAAATCCCAGCCCACTGTGCATGCGTGGCTGGCCCCAGCAGCAATCTGCTTTTTGTTATAGTCTGAGGAGGAGGATTAAGAAGCGGAAAGGAAACCCGTGGGGATGGCACTGGGTCTGAGGTCCACAGGGTGATTTACAGCCCGCATCATCCCGGCACTAGCCGCCTGGGCGGGTCCTGCCATGGACTAGGTCCCCAAGCACCTTTCTTGTCCAGCCTGCCTGTGGTCTGGGGAAGGAGTAGAAGGCTAGAGCCATCCTCTTGACCATGCTGTGAAGGCAGCTGGGGCGGCCTGGGGCCAGCTGCTAGCCGCTAGCCTTGTCGGCACTCAGACCTTGCTGAAGCCACACTACCACCCATGAGTCAGGAGACAGGGTGCCTTCAATTTTCTTTTTTTTTGGTGGAACTGGGATTTGAACTCAGGGCTTTGCAGTTGCAAAGCAGGCACTCTGTTGCTTGAGCCACACCTCCAGTTCCACTTTGCTCTGGTTATTTTAGAGATGAAGGTCTCTCACCAACTATTTGCCTAGGCTGGCCTCAAACTATGATCCTCCTGATCTCAGCCTCCCAAGTAGCTAGAATTACAGACATGAGCCACCAGCGCCTGGCTTGTCTTCAATTCTTGACCCCATCCTTTCCCTGGTGTCTACATTGAACCTGTGTGCCCACCACACACCACAGCCCAGGAATCTCAGCACATGAGTCATCCATCCAAGGGAGAACTTGCATCAACTGAGGCACAATGGGAAGAACATTCAGCTCCCAGGACCTGCTCTGCAATTAACTGACTGTGTGGCCTTGGGTAACTCTCCCTACCCTTCTCTGTGCATAAATTCCCTCTCGTGGACAGGAAGGGGGTGTTAAGTGGATCAGCATTCTCCAAAGGGAGTTCTGCAGAACCAGCCAGCTGAGGTATTCCGGGAGTTTGGGCAACACGACAGACTTTGTCCCCATCTTGGAAAGTCGCTATGTACAGTCACATATTTTAAGCTCTAAAAAGTTCTACAGTGAAGAAATTTATGTGGTTTTATTTACCCAGTATTTTCCCAACAGATTTGCCTTTGCTGCTACACCTGCCTCCTAAGGAGTAGCAACTCACTCTGGTAAGAGTGCAGAAGAGTATTTCATAGAGGCCAGAGGAAGGTCTCAAAGGGTTTGCAAAGCTCGAGGAGCAGCCTATGGCCCGTCACCTTGGAGATGCCAGAGTGCTGGCTGGTGTCTGCTGCTCACCCATGACCACCTGCGGCCAGCTCTGAGCATCCTAGCCCCCAAGGGGACAAGAATGCCGGTGCCACCGCTTCCTAAGGGGCTGGTGTGGGGGTGTATGTATACCTGCAAATACAGGGAGAGAAAACACCCCCATTGCAACAACTACACTGGCAACCACACCGGCCTCCAACCTGTGTGCAGAGCTTGTCCCCTCTGGCTAGCCTTTTGTGGGTTTGGGGACTTCTGCTGAGGTCAAGGTTCTAGGGATGGCTTATGCTTGGCTCATATCCTCAGAGTCCCTGCACCCATAGGAGATGTCTTAAAACAACAGGTGGACCAGATGAGATGGCCTTGCTGTCCCTCTGTCCACCTGACTGGCCGAGTGTGAACACGGGGATCTGGCTGGTGTGGCAGAGGGGATGCGTCTGCACAGCAGAAGACATCTTTGTACCTGTTCGCCTGCCTGGGGTCAGAATGCCAGTCCACGAGGGAGGGAGGTCCACTCTGCTCACCGCCACAGCAGCAGCCTCCTGCACAGCTCCTGACTCACAGGCATCTCGACGAATACTCACTGAATGCCCGGCTTTCTAGGTGCTGGCATTTAACTTGCTACAGGTTAGCCACACCACAGATATTCTTCTCATTTCAAATGGAACACTGAGCGTTTTTGCAAATACGTCTGTCTGTCCTTCAGGGAAACTTCTGGTGATGGCTGTGGACACTGGAACAGCCTCGAATATTTCGCTTTTGTTCATTTCCATCTGACGCTCTGCTCTGCTTGCTATTCGTCTCTGGTCTTAAATTCATCGTTTCCTTCTGTGTACTGCAGGGTAATTGTACCACTTTGGTGCACTTAAAAAAACAATTTTATTTACCTTTTAAGATCATTGTCAGTCTGCAACATCCACGTTAACCATTTTTCACTATTTTCAAGTTATACATTTTTCTACACTTAAGCAACTAGGATACAGCCTTCTGCATACGGGGGAAAAATATCCTATAGGTTTGAAATTTTGACAGCTTTTCTTTCCAAATTGGCCTGTCCTATAAAGAACAGTCAAATTTCAAAACACTAAAATCTGATAGAACTGTGGGAAGGGCACGGGGCAAAGAGTCTACAAAAGCATACGATTAGACCTTCCCTTCCCTTCCCTTTCTAAGTACTCCGGTGGGGGCTAGAAAGAGAGGGGTTGTGCTTGACTCTGAATGCTGCTCTATTCACACTGGTATCATCTTGGGCCCAAGTCAGCTGTAGGGCCCTGGGGGACTGATTAACCTTTCCAACTTTATCTTTGCCCTTCTCTTTAAAATAGGCACAGCAGCTGGGTGCCGGTGGCTCACACGGGTAATCCTAGCTACTCAGGAGGCGGAGATCAGGAGGATCACAGTTAGAAGCCAGCCCTGGGCAAATATTCTCTGGAGACCCTACCTTGAAAAATCCATCACAAAAAAGGGACTGACCAGAAGCTCAAGCGGTGAGAGTACTTGCCTAGTAAGTGTGAGGCCCTAAGTTCAAACCCCAGTGCTCCCCCCCCAAAAAAAAAAACAACACCCAAAAAATGGGCACAGCAATAGTATCCACTTTTTAGGTCAGCTGCAAAAAGTCAATCAAGCTATAGCCCAGACAAGGCCTGGCACACAGTGAAACATTCTGGCCCATGTTCTACAAAGAGTTGGGTCTTCAGTTTAACCAACTAGTGTTTCAAAACATAAAGTGGCCTCAGAGGTTGAAAAAGTCTCTGAAATGAGTTACCAGTAAGAGTCATTTTGAACAAACTGCCATCTTGACCAATCTGCTTTCAACCAATTCTTTTTTAAAAATGAACACAATTTTTTAAATTACATAGGTACTACTCAACAACTGAAGAATGGATACACAAAAAGAAAAAAGAAAACAAAACAAAAAAACAGTGGATATACAAAAGGTGGTATATTCATAAAACGGAATATTATTTGGTCATTAAAAAGGAAAGGTGTTCAGATATGTGCTACAGTGTAGATGAGCCTTGTAGACAGCATGTGAAGCTGGTGACAAGCTGCATGTCATACGGTCCCACTCACATGAAATGTCCACAGCTGGGAACTCTATAGGGACAGAGAGATAGGTGGTTGCCTAGGGCCTCTGGGGGATAGGAAATGATACCTAAGGCACACAGGGCCTCTTTGGAGTGGTGAAAATGCTCTTACATTGGCCAGGGTGATTGATGGTTGTACATATCTGTGAATATAGCAAACACCATTAAATAATACATCAGATGGGTAAACCACACTCTAGTAAAGTTGTTACAACTTTTTTTCAATTACCTAGGTAGTGTGTTAATTATAGGGCTGGGGTGCAGCTCAGTGGTAGAGCACTTGCCTAGCATGTACAGGCCTGCAGTAACCCCTAGCACCATAAAAACCCAAAAAATATATATAGAGAGAGAATAGAGAAGAGTTGAACAGAAGCAAAAGGTGTAAGTGGCTTCAATCTCTCAAGCGAGGAAAATCCCAACAACATTTGGACGACTGCTGTTCGCACACTGTCCTTGTGGTTACACGTACACATGCAGCACTTTAGGAAAGGGGGATTGTGTTTTCTCAAACACCCCAGCCCGTGCATGTTTGCGCATGCAGGTCTGTTTTCACATCTTCTCTGAGAGCCTGGCCTTTGGCCTCCAAACGTCCCAGGGAACAGGACCGGCCCATCCCTGGTGCCTCTTCCCCACCCTCCACTACCTGGCCTGGACACCATGGTGACGGGCAAGAAATTATGAACAGCTAGAGTTGCTGCTGTTTGTTGAGGGCAGGGACATAGTGAGAATCAAGGATCATGTGTGTATCTGGACTGGGAGGGTCCTCAGGTGTCGTGGGCATTAAAGTCACAGCCAGAGCCTTTGTGAGCCAGGAGAGCCCTCCTGGGGGATAGCCTTCATTCAAAACAAGATTTATTGAGTTGCTCTAGGAGGCAGCTCGGTCCCAGGCACGAGGTTGGAGCCCCTGCCCTCGGGTAGCTTCTGGTCTCACCCCACGGAAAAGTGGGGAGCCACTGCCTCTGTTCAGTGCCATTGCCTCTGCCCAGTCCTCTGCTGGTGTTCCTCAAGACTGCTCCCCTGCGAGAAGGACACTGCCCAGAGATCCCAGCTAGTATGGAGTCAGCTGACCCCAAGGTCCCAGGTCCCTAGCTGGGGAGCACGAGATCTAGTGAGTCACACCCCTCATCACTGAGATCGAAGGACTTCAGGGCCAGTCAAAGTCACACAGAAAGACTTTCTACCACCGAGAAGCAACTGTTGCTCAGAGGATGTTTGGGTTTAGGGTATGGCCTGGGGGTCCCCGCCCTGTGCTGAAATGCCAGAGTTGGAGCTGGGTCAGCACTGGCACTCTGGAGCCTGTGGGAGGTACTGTTCCCACCAGTACCCAGGCTCAAGGGGCAGACATCTGTGGGTTGTGTCCCTGCCTCCCAGTCCAGGACAATGAGGGCCACTCAAACCCAACCTCTCAACCCTGCCAGCCCCACCTGAAGACAATGTGGCCCCTCCTCTGAGCTCCTGAAGCACTTTATCCAGAGTCCTCCAAAATTCCCTTGTGTCCTGGACTATCGTGAGGGGACAATGCAGTCCCCTCACCCAGCCCACACTCCTCCACTAGGAGTCCCTGTGGTGTTGCCCTGGTCACCATTTTTGGAGGGTGGCCATGTGCCAGGTACCTCGCTACACTGCCTTGCACACCCCAACTTATACAATCCCGGGGCTGGGGGGCTAGGTTTCTGGTGTTGCCTCCATTTTGCAGATGAGGAACCAGAGGCCTGAGTGGTCACCTCACTTACCCCAGACCACCCTGCTAGGATATAGCAGAGCAAGGCATATCCCTTGCCCCTAGAGACCTCAGTTTCTTCACTGGTAACCAGCAGGACCATCTACCTAGCTGCCACCTCCTCAGTGCTAAGAAATTCTGGGTCTTGGACTCTTGGAGCTTAAAGGAAGGTGGCTGGTCATAGAGGCCTCGCACACCCATAGCCAGGACCAGAGCCTTCAAGAAGCCCAGGGGACCTATAGGGGACAGCCACACTGACATCTTCTTGGTCTGCAATCCACTCTCTGGATGCCTACCTGCTTCTCCCTCCATCTCTGCTTGTGTGTCCCTGTGCCAACTCTCTCTTGGCCTTTTCTCTGTTGGTCTTTCTGTGTCCATCAGTTTCTGTCTTTCTTGTCTTGGGCCCTGTGAGGGTCAAGTAGGCCCTGATGAGGCCTAAGGTGCAGTGACTGTGGCATTCCATCCCCCTTCCATCCTCAGTGCCAGCCGGCCACTCCACATGCTGTCCTCCCAAATCCCAGCAGCAACAAGGGCCTAGGATCTTACCTCATGGCGGGGGGCTGCACCTGGATTGGTGAGGAGCTGATTGCTGGGCACAGGGGTCCCATCCAGATGGAGAATGACCTGCTCCTCATGCCTTCCCAGAACCCTGACTCCTGACCTCACGGACCCCTATACACACCTCTAACCACAGAGTCGAGGGTCCCATCAGGCCTGCCTCCCTCCAACTCCTGGCTGGAAACTGTTCCCTTTCAATCTTCTGCATCTCTCAGCACCTCCTCTCCCCAGTCTCTACTGCAAAGTGGCAGCAGGGGCATTGGGCACCCACAGACAAGTCAATGCATGCCACATGCTGGCCAACAAATCTTCACAAAGATTACTAAGTCCCCAGGAGACCCAGGACTGAGCCAGCTGCAAAGATCACAGTGCCAGCGGATGGTCCAAAGCCTCTGTTTCTTCATCTGCAAAGTGGAAGTAGTGACAGGCACCTCCTGAGGACTGCACAAGTCAGGGTGTGCAAGACAATGTGAGGGAGTCCACGAGCCCCTGGGCAACCCAAATAACCAACTAATGTCAGCAAAAGCAGTGTGAGTTCCCTACAAACACAAGAGGTTTTGTTTTTCTTGTTTTAAGACAGGTGTCACTATGTAGCCCACACTGGCCTGGAACTAGCAATCCTCCTGCCTCAGCCTCCCAAGTGCTGGGATTACAGGTGTGAACCAACACATCCAACTGGGAAGAGCAATGTTTTTTTGGCTTGGGGAGTTTTTTGGTTTTGGGGTTTTTTTTTGGCAGTACTGAGGGTTTGAACTCAAAGCTTCATACTTGCTACGCAGGCACTCTACCACTTGAGCCACTCCTCCAGCCCAAGAACTATTTGCCTGAATATCCTGATCCTGCCTCTTGAGTAGCTAGGATTATGGGCATGAGCCACCACACCTGGCTAAGAGCAGTTTTAAGATGAGAAAACACCTCCCCTTCTCACTCCCATTATCCCCAAGCCCCTCCAGAGTTAGATTCTGGAGCCACTGTGGCATCCAGGTAGAGGTAGCGTCATCTTTCATCAGGCCTCTTTATTCACTGTCACTCTGTCAGGGGCTTCCAGCTACACTAAAGCAAGTCCAAGACTGAGATAAGATTCTTTCACAAGCACACACATACACGCCTATGCACACCCCTGGGGCAAATACACCACAGTGGCTAATTGCACCAACTATGGCATCAGACCACCTCTGGTTGAATTCTGACTTCCCCATTCTACTGGCTGTATGACTTTGAACAAGTTATTTAACACCTCTGTGCCTCAGTTTCTTTACCTATAAAATAGTAATAATAATATCTACTAAAGGAAGTTGTTGGGAAGATTAAAGAACACACGGCTACAAAGTCAAGCCGTGTTTGGAAGGTATATGTCAGAGCACATGTAAGTGTGTGTGTGTGTGTGTGTGTGTGTGTGTCTAGTCCCTTCATTTGCCCACCACTGTCTCCGCTTTAGATTGCCAAGGCATCCCTCAGCAGGGCACAGAGGAGCTGCCCTTTTGGTATTTGGGGAAAAC